TATGAGAAGAGATAAGAGGCTTTGAGGAACTGCAGAGACAGGAGGTGAAGAAATGTGTTCATGTGTTCAACAAATACTTACCAAGTTGCCTCAATTCAAGCATCGTTCTGCACATGGAGGACCTAGCAGTGAAAATATTCCTGCCCATGTGTTATCATGGGGTTTATGTTAGGAAGGGAGAGTTTCCCTTCCCCCAGCAGGTGGCCCCAGTGTGACACCAGTCCAGCAACAAGCATTTGGCTGGGGGCCATTTGGGAGTCTGTCCTATCCACCAGATTTGAATGTTTTGTATCAAGGACACTTTCTGGACCATACCTGTGATTTTTATGTTCATTTTCCACTTTCATGCTAAACTGCTCTCTGTGAACCTGGTCTTCTCTTCACAGAGCAGTCATCCCATATTATTAATCTTGTCTTGTTGGGGAAATTTATGAGTGTTGTGCTATATACAATTTTTACAATTATAATGAGAACAGGACTCCCTGTTTTGTATTTGGCATAATGTACTCAGCAGTGGGCCTCAGGGGGTAAACAGAAATGTAGAAAGAGGGAAATAGCAGGAGAAAGTGGTTGGCTCTGGGAACCACATTCATGCCTATTTCAAAGCCCTTCCTCCTTTAAGGAGGTGGCGTAGAGTACTGGGAAAAGGCTGGGTTCCAATCCTGAAGCTGCTGATGACTGACTATGACCTTAAATTACTCTCTCAGAGCCTTGATTTCTTTACCTGTAAAAAAAAAAAGTAGGTTTATAGTACCAATCTGTCACAGGGATATTAGATGAGGGGTAAATGAAATGACTTGTGCAAAGTACTTAGCATAGTGCCTGAAAAATAATAGGCTCTTAGGTTTAATTCCCTTCTCCTAAATACCTCCTTGGGTTTGAACTTTGTTTGCTAAATGCCCCTGGCAAAATAGAAGTTGTGCATCATGGAGAGCCAGTTTATTGACTCAATAAACTTGTTAATATATTTGCATGAATTAGTGTATTGATTATTGACTTTACAATAGCTGATCCTCAGGGAATGGGACTTAGAACAGGTTTTGATTTAGAGACAGGAGGGGGACAGGGTCTTAGATGAGGCAGGGCCAAGCAGGATGTGGGGATTGTGGGGACACTATGAATATGAAGCCCTAGATACCAGCAGAGTGGTATAAATAGGGTAACAGTCAGGGAAACTGACAATAAACTCTGTCACCATTTTGTCTGGGCTTGTGTTTGTTTGCTGTTGAAGATCTTAAGAAAGAGTATTCAGTGACAACCCAGAGGATTATTTCCAGTGATTAGTTATCTTGATAATAAAATACTCAACAAACAAAAGAGGTAACAACTCATTTTATTTCGTAATTTTGAAGATGTTTGCCATACTCTAATTTGTTTTATAAAAGAAAGTAAGGCAGAAAACTTGAATATCTTATTTTAAAAATTGCATCAGGATAGAATGGTAGGCCTTATATCCAGGTATGGGCCCATGATTCCATTTCTAGATTTCTGAAATCCAAAAAGCTCTGAAAACCAAAAGTTGATTTTGTTTTGTTTCATTTCTTAAATGTTTGTCATTAAAACTAAGTTGGTAGCAAAACTTGACCCAACTTTACTCATTTATCCTACTTAGTATGACTATGCATAGATTTCGCTGCAGAAATATTAATGTTTAACTACTAGAGGTAGCCACAAATCCCACTGAGTTTAAGGTTATGTTGGTGTCCCTAGGGTCCTCTCTTTAATTGTTGCCCCATTCTTTATCTCCTTATAGGGAAAGGATTCTCAAAACTCTGTCTCCAGTTCAGACCTCTCTTCTGAGCAACACACATTTCCCAGCACCTACCAGGTTGCTCCACCTGCCTAAGCAGTGCAGAGTGAGTGTGCCAAAGTCTCTTGCCCTCAGTGCTGTGTGCCTTCCTGCTGCCCATGATGCCCAGGACCCCCTCTATAGAGGAAATGGAAATGCATGGAGGTTTTAGAAATATGCCAGCCACTTATGTAATTTAAACTGTTCTAATAGCCACATTAAAAAAGGAAAAAGAAAAGGGTGAGATTAATTTTAATAATATATTAACCCAATACAGCCAACATATTATCATTTTAACATGTAATCAGTATAAAAACGGGGATATTTTATATTCTTTTTTATACTGAACCTTCAAAATTTAGTGGTTTTTAAAAAAATTTTTTTTTTTTTAAATCCTCACCTGAGGATAGTTTTTCCATTGCTTTTCAGAGATAGTGGAAGGGGAGGGGAAAGAGAGAGATAGAAACATCGATGTGAGAGAGACACATCAATTGGCTGCCTCCCACTCACGTGCTTACCAGGGCAGACATTGAGCCTGCAATCGAGGTACATGTCCTTCACCACAATTGAACCCGGGACCCTTCAGTCCGAGGGCCAATGCTCTAACCACTAAGCAAACCCAGCTAGGGCTAGTGTGTATTTTTTATGCTAAGTATTTTATTTGTATGCTGCTTCCAGTGTATATAAAATAATCATCCTTGTGAAATAGAAATTCATGAAAATAGAGAGAGATGTTAAGGACTGACAAAACCAGAAGTTTGTATAGTATGGCACATGTTATAGGGTAAGCTTTTTGTACAGGCTTCAAATTGAGCTCTCTTTGAATATTCACTGGTTCAAGAAAAGTGTTTTAGGACACCTTCAAAGATTCATTTCACTACAAAAAGGAATAGACTTTCTGGGGTCTGAAGGGATTGATACTTGAAGACACTCCAGTCAGCAGGGGCTCAGGTTGAGCATTCTGCAGACAGAATTGTTTCAAATCTGCCTCTGACTGGGAAACCTTCACAGGTTGAGCCTGGCCTCCAGCCCAAGCTGTGGAATCTTACTTTCTTCACATTGGTGACACTGGAGGAACCAGACATAGTGCATATGAGAACCAGGCAGATTTGTTGGTAGTGGGTCAGCTGGTCGTGGTTCCAAGGGGCGGGACAGCGGGGCAGTGTATTGAGGGCCAAAATTTAGTGTGTATTTTAATCTCAATTTGCACTAGTAACATTTCAAGTGATTAGTAGCCACATGTAGCTAGTGGCTCCTGTACTAGACAGTGAAAGTCTGGAGTGAAAAAGGTAATAGTTGAGGCTGGGCAAAAAGCACTCTTGTAAAGAAGTCTGATAGGATACGTACATTATAAGTATCACTGTTTTTACGATTCATGTAACAGGGTGGGGCATAGGTTTACAGTTCATATGGAAAATACAGTTGTCAACATAAACATTCAAAGCTCCCTCCCTTCCTCTCTCTCTCCCCCACTTCCACTCTCTTTGAAAAGTAATGAAAAAAATATCCTTGGGTGAAGATTAAAAAAAATAAATTAAAAAAAAAGTAAGATGGTAGACACAGACATCTTTTACATAGCTGGATAGAGGATAGTTAACAATCAACAATTAACATGATAACAGTAACAATGAGAGGATTTGTGGTCTCCCCCTGCTACATTGGCTATGCCCCAAGGGGTCTGGAAAAAGGTGGAGTTATACCCTGACTTTCCAAAGGTATGTTATGGTAGATGCAAAAAGACTATAGATAGGCTTAATTATCTGGTAAAGATTAACTTTTATTAGGGAAGATTCTAGCCCAGGACATGATTATCTGCCATAAACTGCTTTTAGTTACCAAGTTTTAATTTCAGACCATCCTTTGTTGTTACTTTAGGTGTCTGAGTTTGTACGGCTACCATACAGGCCTTCCCTGAGCTTGTCAGGTTTAGTATATGGCCCCTTTTCGTCCACACAATAATTAATATGAGAATAAACCCAGTGTTTCGCACACTCACAACTGTAAACATACTTTTTCCCTACCCTGTACATTCTGTTCCTTATGGTTTTCCCCTAATATTTAGAGAAGTGTTTGAAATTCCAGTGTTCCTCAGCAGTGCTAAGAAGAATCACAAAGTATCCTTCCTCCAAAGCTGGGAAGGGATTTTCAAGGGAGCGCACGCCTCTCCCCTCAGGTAAATTTCAAGGGGAAGGTGACATTCTCAGTAGGGAGCTCTCTCCCTACTTGGAAAGCCCCTTCCAAAGCTTATTGTGAAATCTCTGGATTTTGTTATAGAAGGAAATTGATTTTCTTCACAATTTCTTTTGAAAAGTTTCATACCTTAGCTGCTAGAGAGAAAATGTATTTACAATAATTATTACAGCCAAAGCCACCATATATCCTAGATTTTTCCAGGATGGTGTTTTTAATAGTGTCTCTTTCTGTCTGTGCATCTTGAAATTTGGTTGAGAAGATAGAATCTGTCAGTTTTGAGTGTGAAATACTGGAGAGTACTATGGTGACCAACCAACTGGCACTCAGCAGTTCCTTGAACTAGAAGTTAGTTCTGGATACTTCTCTGGAAATGGTTTTGGTAGACTGCTCCTTCCTGGAGGTCTGAAATGGGCACCAGAGAGGTTACTCTCTTCAGGTGACAGCAGAACATGTGCTTGCCTGTAGCCTTTCCTTCTCAGGAGACCTAGTTTATGCTACTATGTACAGATCAATCTGAGTTTTAAGGGGTATTCTGTATGAGAAGATATTTAAAGTTATGTAGAGGCAACAAAGCTTTCTAAGAATACTTTTGGCAGGCTGATAAAGGATTAAAAAAGAGAGAGGCCTGGGAGAGTGGTGTTAGCCTTTAGGATGCCATTGGTGCTCACAATTGGGGGAGACAATAGCCCTTATTGTTACTATTCAAAACGCTGTCCACGTTTTTCAATCATCAACTAAAACTATTTCACTTTCAAAGTCTCGGCGGTCGGGGTAGGGCGGGGGAGGGCCTGGCTTCCAGGTGGCCGAGCAGTGCCCCAGGGTCCTGGCGGCTCTCCCTGCGGCGCAAGGCGAAGGGATATCCGGAGGGGTGCGCAGAGCCCCGGAGGGTGGCCGGCCTTTTCGCACTGCCAGTCTCCAGCGCCCCAGCTTCCAGGTGGGGACGCCCCCTCCCCCGCAGCGGGGCTCGGCGGGCGGGAGGAGGGGCTGGGCTGCGAGCGCCGCCCCTCCATCTATCACATGGCTGGAGCGCCACAAAAACAACAGCTTTGGCCAAGGCCGGGACTTCAGGACAGGGAACCCAGGGTCCTAGCTGCGGCCTCCACCCCATGGAGGAGAGTTTTCTCGAATCCTTTGGGAGGCTGAGCCTCCAGCAGTCGCAGACTGGGCCGCCAGCCCCGCCGCCCCCGCGCGGGACACCCCCGCGCCGCCACAGCTTTAGGAAACACCTCTACCTCCTGCGAGGCCTCCCGGGCTCGGGGAAAACCACGCTGGCCAGGTAATGCCACCTGCCCGGCCCGCTCCCCCG